ATATTTCAATCTTAAAATGTAAATCATAAAAGGTAATTAAAAAATAAATAAATAAATAAAGGGAGCAGAATAAAAAATGTATGCATCCTTAACGATTCGGGCGCCAATATTTGGCGCCAAAGTTACATCTTAAAGTTTCGTAAGAAAAAAAGAACACACGCACACAAATTCACATCTTTTCAGCATCTTTATTTATTTTCAATTCAAATTCTAGTAAAATGAAGAAAAAATTCACTTGCTGAAAAAAAAAACATGGGTTATCTCAAACGTAACATCACTGAAACTAACAAATACCATTTTTATCCTGTTGTGTCCTACTTAGTTTTAACAGTTCATTTATGACACTGTTGTTCAGCCTCTGAAGGTTATTTTCTCGCTCGTCATCTTCACTCACCTCATTTTGCCTTTGATATGCTGGTATTTTCCACTACTTTCCTTGAAATTGGAAGGGTACACTTTGCATCGGCACTGTAGGTGTCTGGGAGAGGTAAATAAAACTGTTGCCCCCTTTTCTGATGGAAACCAATTGGGTTGTCATAAACGTAATTCTGCTGTTGGTGTGGCATTTTCTCTTCTTCTTGAAATTGAAACAGTATGTTCGCATCCATCCCCATTGTAGAGATCTGGTGGTGGTAACCGTCGTACATTTCTTCGATTAAACTCTTGTTTAATTTTTCCTGCTTCCTCTCGTAGCATGTTTTTACTGCATTCAATGCACTCATCAATCACAGAAATTTGATTTTTTAAATCTCTCCATTCTGGTACAGTGAAAGCGATACCTTTCTTGCTGGGGTATATTTCCTTATCATACTTGCTTTCGAAATATTTCCTAACATGTATTTGCACTTTACCTCTCCACGTAGTCACACTTTATTTTCGCGTCAGATGTACCAAGCTTAAACATACTTCTCACGTTAAGTTGCATATGATAAAAAACATATTAGCGAGGCTTATATAAATCTCACAAATAATAACCATCTATAAATAGGGATGATTATGAATAAAATTTAACTCCCTTAAGCGAAAACTGTATAACTATGATAACATAGACTGAAAAAAGCAACCTTTCATCGAATAAAGTTTAAAAGTTGACAAATTTGCTTCAATCAATCAAGTCAATGTAACAATTAAGGGTTTACCAGAAATGTCCAACTACCTTGGCATAGATGAGCTTACCTTAAAACAATGGGAAGAAATCTCTATAGCTCATCGTGTAACATGTGTGGAAATATAGGATCATCGATGGGGCGGATCCAAAATTGCAGGTAAACATATGAGGTTATTTGCTTCTATATTACATTCAAATAGTAGTAAATAATTTGGCTCGCAATCCTCAACGCGGCCTTTTTCTGTTTGTTTAGATAACATCATATAAAACACCTCCTCCACCAAAGAAGTATAAAAAGATAGAATGCACGGTGTTTGGAAAAGTGTGGACGGGAAGACGCTTTGAAACGCCACATGAAACTACATGCATAAAAGAAGAATTTCATTGCAATGCTTGCACTAAAACCTTCTATCGCCGGGATATAAAAATGAAACATGAAGCTTCATGCTTCAGGTGGAGAAGAGAAAACGAACAAATGGAAAATTTCAATCGAGAAACCAGACAGGATGCGCGTTCACAACATCAAAGGACAGCGGAGAATTAGAAGGCGAATGTCAGAGTGCACTGGATGGTAACTTGAAATCAATACAAATGACACAAAGGTAAAATGAAAAATATGATTTGTCCTTGTTTCTACAAGGAAAAAGAACAAATGTACTGAAACATCTAGAGAAAGAGGTAAAGGGAAAAAAGCGTTGGGGTATGATCGGTTGGTGACGGCTATGGGTGCTCATAAAAGCCACAAACCCACCATGATTCTGCCCTCAGATTGGGGACAGGGTAAAAATTGTACCCTGTTCATGTTCAATAATGTTCCCAGTGGAGATGCAGATAGCCCTCACACCAGAAATACTAGACAGACAGGCAATGTGAGGTATGTCATTGAATTCCGTGAAGCAATCGATCACAATATCACCGTGGTGATCTGGAGCGAGTACGAAAATCTATATGAGATTGATGTCTACGGAGGGATCCTCTATTCCATTCATCGCTAAGACATGGAATTTGTGGCTCTCAGTGATACCGTGCTACGAACCCTAGCCATGGAGGATCGAGAATTACGTCGCGTGTTTCAAGGGGTGTTTCCCGCCGATCAGTTACCGCGTCATCCCTCCCACACCACTCGTGCAGCTTACATCGTCAATACGGACCCTGCAGGGGAACCCGGACAGCATTGGTTAGCCCTCTGGACAGAGAAGAACGAGTGTGAAGTCTTTGACAGTTATGGATTGCCCTTGCACGTGTACACGAACCCTGACTTACACGCTTGGTGGGCTCAATGGAAATACTTGACCAGAAGTGACCAGACGATACAAGCCCTTGACAGTCAAACCTGTGGTCATTATGTTCTGATGTTTCTCAAAGCCAAAGCGCGAGGATGTACGTTTCAAGAATTTCTGTCACGATGGAATAGTTATAATCTAGTGATAAATGATAGGAGAGTGGCTCAAGATTTAAAACGTTTGATTAAAGAAGAACTTTACGATACACTTAATGGTTCACCCAGTAGGGGTCAAAGCAGTGTGAGTCGATGTGCTTTTTGTGCCATTCAGTGTGTTGAATGAATAAAAGAAACGCATGTGTGAAATTTGTGTAGTTGTATCATGCTTACGCGGGGTGAGCATCAAAGGGTGGTGGACGCATTGGCGTTGCACAAGGTGTCTGTGTATATCCAATACGGTGATCAATCCCTTGACATGTCATGCCCATGGAATGAATCGGATTGGCAACAAATTCTCATGTTTGCCAGATCCCACCGCTGGAGGCAACTGAAATGGTATTTGTTCTTGCATTGTGAACCCTTCTTAAGGGAGGTCTTGGAAAAATTGATTCAGTCAGTCTCACCCCGTCTGTATCAAGAGGTGTTTTGTCATGATCACACGAAGTGATCATCGACGAGTCTTTGAAGAGTTCGTCATGGAAGAATGTTTGTATTTCTTACAACATCCCCTCGAAATGTTTTTCCAAGTACCATGGGATGGGGTGCACTGGCATCACGTAGTCGAATTAGCTCGACAAACTCGATGGTCTGATCTGAAACAGTATATGGACACAATGGGTGTAACCTATTTAAGGGAAGAGATGGAATTGGTAATCGAGACAGTATCCCCTCGCTTGTATCGAGAATATTGGTCAGTATGCCCAAACAAAAACGTCGTCGTAGAAGGTTAAAGCGTCCTTTTCGAGGGGGTGGACTGTTAACGGTCTTGTCAAAAGCCGCCAAAATCGGATATCAACTGGGTAAAAGCAAACGGTACAAACGCATGGGTGCGAAAGGGGCCACGGGTCATTACAGGCGACTTCGCGCACCTTGGGAGGTGTGAGAAACAAGGTATAAAAGACAACAAACACACTTGACAGAAGAGATGATTCGTCAACCTGCCACCGCGATTGTGGCCGGACCCTCGGGCAGTGGAAAAGGTGACTTAGTGGAACAATTGTTACGAGAGAAGAAACTCTTTTCACCCCCTCCCAAAAAGATGGTGTATTGTTATGATCGTTGGCAACCAAGGTTTGAGAGAATGCAACAGCTGGACAAGATTCGTTTTCATCGTGGAATACCGGAGGAAGGTGCATTGATCAAATGGTTTAAACCTCAAGACCATGGGATATTGGTGTTGGATGATTTAATGGAGGAAGGTGGAAGTGATAAACGCGTGTTGGATTTATTTACAAAAGATTCTCATCATCGGGGAGTAACCGTGTTGTATCTTTCCCAAGATTTATTTCCACCGGGTAAATTTTCCAAAACCATTAATCGAAATGCTCATTACTTGGTGGCCTTCAAGAACCCCCGTGATCAAACCGGCATTCGTACAGTGTTATTACAAGCCTTTCCAGAACGATGGCGCACCGTCTTAAGTCTCTTTCGACGATTGACTACACGTCCCTTTGGCTATTTATTGTTGGATCTCCATCCTGCCTCGGATGATCGCTACAGATTGTGGAGTCATTTGACCAAACGAGAAGGGCGACCACAGATGCATACTTTTAGAGAGGACAAATTATTGACGAGAGTAGGAAAACCCTATAAATAAACGCGTACACCTACCTTGAATCATTGCGTTCATCATGGGCAGAAGAACCAAAGGCAAACGTAAACAAAGAGGGATTAGACGCCGTCGTCCACCTGGTGTGGGGTTTCAAAAAGGTGGTATTGTTCCCTTACTCGCCCTTGCTTTACCAGCTCTAGCCGCAGCAGGGAAAGCAGCTGCTCTCGGGAGTTTAGCGGGTGCTGCCAGTTATGGTGTCAAGAAAGGATTGGAAGCAGCCACTCGTAGACGCCGCCGGTAACTATAAAGACCGTATCATGACACGAAAAGATGACAGAGAGGATGGAGGGACGTATGAGTCGACAAGCTCCGTTTTTAAAAAGTGTACTCAACGAAGCCAATGCTCACAAACGTCAACAGCGATTACGGTATGCGAATATTGATCAAATCAATGCAGTGAGTGAATTAGTCCTGAATACTTTACGTGGTGTTGTACCTCAAGGAAAGTTCACCTTGAAGAGAATGAGACCTCATGCATCCGCGTTACGATTCATTGCCAATCCTAGAAATTCGGCGAAACGTCGACGACACACCATGATTCATCAATTAGGAGCCGGCAATCTAGTATGGAAAGAATTACATCGATGCTATGAGTGTAGCCAGCGCCTATATAAATAGCGTGTGTTTTCTAACCAATATGCTAAACCAAGATGAGACCGCAACTCGTGGACATGTTGGTTCGCTTACTGCAAACGTTACGGGCTATTCTAGTGACGCTTAAAGAACTGAGAGAGATAATGAAACAAAAAGTGACCTGGGCTAAACTCAAAGAGCTAGTAACACGGTTTTTCCGACGAGTATAAAGCAGACCACACCTACCTAGAGGTCAATCAGTCAAGATGGTTGAGGACATGAAAAGTATCCCCGTGCAAGACTCAGTTGCGTTTTTACGATTACGAGACCATTACAAAAATGACTTGTTGGAAGACAGTCGTTTAAACAAAGCAGCGGAACTTGCAGCCACACATCATCTCTTGTTAACGAGTCCATCCTCAGATGCGTGGAAACGACCTCAGTTAAAAGCTGTCGACAGAGAGCTAAGACAGTGGACTAAACGCGTTCGTCAACCAGGTGGAAGTCGTGTGGGAACTGGTGGAGGAGATGTTGAGGAAGAGGATGAGGATGAAATGAATCTAGCCGCAGGACCTATGCACACCTTGTTGACTAAATTATTACCATCCCGAAAACGTATAAAACAGACCCCCTCATCTCCCTATCCAGTTGTTACTACAACAGCAGGCGTGAAAAGGAAAGCGTCTTCAAGTGGTCCAACGAAACGCACGTCTAATTTATCCAAGTCCTCTACTCCTAAAGGACCAGGGGCACCGAAAAAGAAACGAGTCTCCTTAGCCGTCACCCCCAAAGGAAAAAAAACACCTAACAAGAAGCGACTGTATTTTACACCACCGAAATCCACCCCAGAACTAATAGGTGGAGAAGAATTAGCTGAAGAACTTCCTATCTCAGGGGCTTTGGGTGAGCAACCGTGGAGTACACCCAAGGAAATTGCCCGCAACGTGTTTAAATCGTTCCGTCGTAAATCCAGAAAAGCTGACGTACAGAAATTGAAACCAGCCGCAGGTTGGAAACCATTTGGAACCCCCCTACAACGACAACTTTATGGCAAGGACTACTCGTAAACGCAAGACCTCTAGTAAAAGGCGACGTCGTCAATGGGGAGGAAAGTTGGATGTTCAGAAATTGTTGAGCAAGACTGGGATCGAGTTCCACATCCCCGGATATCAGTACGCAGGGCCTGGGACCCAGTTGACCAAACGTTTAGCAAGAGGGGATCCTGGGATAAATCGATTAGACAAAATTGCTAAACAGCACGATATCGCTTACAGTAAAGCCAAGAATTTGCAAGATAAATGGAAAGCTGATGACGTCATGATCCGTGCCATTGATCGATTGCCAGGCAAGAAAAAATTGACTGAAAAAATGGTGAAAAAAATCATGCAAGCCAAGAGACGTCTTCAGTTATAATGTGTTTTTTGATAAAATGAATAAAAAGTGTGTTGTGTGTTTTAAACAAGAGTGTCCTTATTAATTGTATACCCTCACTAAATAATACACACCATGTTTTTTTAAAACAACTGTCAAGTATTTAATTAAGGGAACTGCGTCGCCATGCAACCTCTTCCCTTCATTCACTGCCATGTCCTATTTACAATGGGGACGTGTGAGGTCTCCTAGTGAGAACTCGCCCTTTCAAAACTATTGGCATTGTTATAACGAAAGCAAAAGATCGACTTCATGATGAATGCGCGAATAACCAAAGGGATAGGACCGTTTGGTGGGGAGGTCAATGACCCTTTTATCAAACACTAAACCGTATTTTTTAACGCGTTCCGTCAACCTAATACGTTTGTTGGGTACATCCCGTTGAAAAAAATATGGATCTTTGACTAAGAAGGTTCTTCTTTCATCCTGGGGGTCATCTAATTCGGCAAGGATGTTGGCTTTCATGGTGTGATAATTCAGCACGGCAGTCCCACGCACATTGAGGGTAAACCCGCGCACTTTACACTCCACCTTTCCACCACGCGTGATATACCCACAATTTTTTGCTCCGCCCGAGACAAACTCCTGGATCACATCTCCCTCTAACTCGTGCGTCATACATCCAAGGTAGTCGTCCACTGGTACGGAGGGTCTCCCAGGCTCCCAAAGATATATGACACTGTCCGTATCATAATACAACACTTGCTCTTGAAGAAGATCTAAGGACTCATACAGGGTTAAACGCGCGTGACAGGTCGTGAAGGCTGCTATAAAGACGTTCGTTTTGCTACCTTTGTTGACATTCTCCTCGATGGAGGTGGTGACGGCCTCCATGACTTCATCCGTGCAGATTCGTAATGTATTTACATTCAAGGTAGAATTGGTGAGGAGACTGAACAACTGGGAGGGTTGCTGAATGGTTGTGGTTCGTGGCTTATTCATCCTTTCTCCAAATTTGCCCCAAAAGCTGCAAAGAAAAACGATAGAATCAGTCTCTCCCCCTTTTATGCCCCTCCCCTACAACCACCCTTACGCACCTATTAAGCATTAGTTTGGCTGTGGCTTTTCGTCCTGGATTCTTTTTCACGTTCCTATACTCCAGCTGAATGCCCTCTCTTGCCCGATAATTGGATAGATACTGCTGTTTCTCTTCTTCTGTTCTACACCAACCGGGCCAGCCTGCTGACTCTTGCTTGAGTTTTAACCATGTATTCACATACCCTTCAAAGAGACCCGTATCCTGTTGCTCGGCTTGAAAGTGCAACACCTCGTGGATTTTGTGAAGAATGTACCCTTTTTCCACGGCTTTCTGAAGTTCCGGCGTGCACCACGTGCCTCTGAGCATACGTTGTTGATCGGAATGGGGACAGACATGTCTTCTGTCGAGCATGGGCTTACTTTGTTCTTCTTGGACACAGGTGGCACACAGGGGAAAGGTCAGTTTACCACCTCTTCTGACAGGCAGGACGGGATGAAATAGGTTGGCAGGGGGAAGGATATCGACCAAGGCGATTCCAAAATACGAATAAATGTTTTGATCAGCTGGCTGAGTGATGATGTGAGGATGTCCAGTAGGGTAACATTTCGTCTTGTTTACGAAGGGATAAAGGCTCGTGACATCAATATATCTTATTTCTTGGTTGTCCTCGGCCCTAACGTGTAAGGCCACAGCCCCGGTCCGTCCACCAAAAAATGCTTCTCTGGGGTTCAAGGGTGGGACTAGCTCAAAACTTTGTAAGAAGGTTTGTACGCCTGGGTTGCTTTCTTTTTCTGCCTTCCACTCACATTCCCAGCATTCTTTCACTATGTAACCATTCAGGCGAAGACAACAGGTCTTGTTCCAGGTGGCCTGGTACAATTCTTCCAGGGTTCTGTCCGGGGAACAGTAATGCTTGTCATCTCGATTGGGATGGCACTTAGGGCATCCATGAAATAAACAGCCATGGAACTCATAGACGGTGTTGGTTTCAGCATCGAAGCCGTCCACAAAATAGGCTGCGGCAGGGGTGAGGACCGTTTGTTCGCCTCCGTTGCGTACATGTTTGATTCGATCAGCGGATGCCCCCTCTTTCTCAATCTTACTTTCCTCCCAATACAACCATTCCAGAGCCACTTGCGATTGGTTGACTCGGGCCCCTCGCCAACCTTGAGGCGGTTCCACGGCAATCTGGTCTGGTTTCACATGGTGTTTGCGCCAGTAGAGATTACACGCACTGGCAATGGTCACGCACTTTTCAAATGGGTTAAAGCCTGCATTGGCTTGAAACTCTTGCACAAATTTCTCGCAACCTGCTTTGAGAAGGACCACGTCCGACTTGCAATAATCCACCATCTCGCGATGAAAATCAAACACATTGTTTCTGGCCACTTGATCTGCATGCCACAGTTTCAATTCTTCACGCTTCTTGACATCCATACCATCCGGATCGTAGTACTCTAAATCGGGTACCCGTCCCACGTACGACTGGTTCTCCGGGACATTCCAAAGATGTGGAAACCAACCTTTTTTCAGTTCCGTGAGTGAAAAGGTGGACGGGAAAGCGGCGAGTGGGAACGGTAGAAAACAGAGGGAGTCGACAAATTTGAGGGGACCACTTGTAAAAGACAGGACTTTTGCACCCATAGTGAGTTGATCCGACACCTCTCTCTGTTGGGAGTACATTTCTTTAATGATGAAAATTCCATCAAAGCCTTTCAGGTTATGGAAGATGATGATGATGGGTCTGTCTTTGTCATTGTCGGGGACCTCCGTGAGGTCATCCAAATCATGCAAAAATTCCAGGGGACACCCCTCTCCTTCCAAGACATGCACCTCGTCTTCTTCCGACGTACTGTAACAGAGTAGGTTTGGACTAAATTCTCCTTCAGCGTTCCGCATGGCCTCAAAGTCAGCATAGACAAAGAGGGTTGGGGGTGGGGGCTGTTTGCAGTCATTCTGGCCATTTTCTTGGTCCCAATACAGTGGGTCATCATCCATGACCGTGGTTTCTTCTTCTTTCTCCTCTGCGACAGGCTGAATGTAACATTTATGCTCCGCTATCTTTACGAATTCCCCACACACATCGCACTTAGCGAAGCCGCAATGATGCTTTTTTCCTTTAACGACGTTGTAATGGGCGCAACAATGGGGACAGGTCTTGAAAGATTGGCAGAGTTTTTCCTTTTTGTGATGAGTAAAACAGTTCTGTCCAAAAAAACGAGTATAACAATAACTGCATTGTAGGGTGGGCCTGGTGCCACGAACATAGTCTGGACAGTCCATTCTCACACATGCCGTACACTTGCGACCCTCACAGGAATGATGCTTTCCGTCGTCGGTGTTGTACCCCTTCTCGCAGAGATGACAATAATACGAGCGGTTGATAAAACCAGAAAACGACGTACATCCATCGTAATGATCGCCGCCTTTGATCAGGCAAATCTGGTGGAGGGCCTCTGGTCCTTTGAAAATAAGAAAGAAGGGCTTGAGGCGACACATGACAAGCAGTTGATAGTGCGGCGAGAGGGCCTCTTGAAACTTTTTCAATTCTTCCAGACCACAAGGCCCTTCGGGGACGCCTGCCAATCGGTGAAGGTCTTTGGCTTCCTTTTCTTGCACAGGACATCCTGTTCTCATATTGAGGTACCGATTGTTTTCTATTGCACCCTCTTGACGATGGCAATGAGCCCTCATGGTGACTAAAGCTCTGCTGCAACATAATTGGTCTTTATTCCGGATGGTAATGATACTTCTTTTCTTCTTATTTTCTTTCTCCAGGCAGCGACGACCGGGGTTATGTTTTGTACGACCAGACCCGGGACCGGGCATGGCAACAATCGTAATATCGACTTGAAACCCGTGCTCAGGGGAAAAGCTTTCATTGGAATTGAGCTTGTTAACCAACGACTGTAGGAGCTCATCCAACCTGAGGGACCGTTTAAGAAATTCACCCACGGTAAAATTAATCGATTGGTAGGCATGGGTGAATCCGTGGGCCGTAATGGAAAAATTGACAAAATGATGATCGGGGCGATGATCTCTTCTCAATTCCCCATCAATGGCTGTGTGGAGAGCATCCACGAGGGCTAGACCAATACTATCCCTAGGCGTAGGGTCCCGGAGTTGCTGATACGTGGCGCGAAACTGTGCCCGTTCAACCACGTTGCGCCATCGCCTTCTTGGTCCAATGGGGGTGAGGTTAAATTGGAATAGAGGCCCTAAGGCACCCCCCGTCTGCTCAAAACGATCGTAGGCATAATTAAGAAACTCATCCTCTTGGGAGTCCATAAAGTCGTTGTCGTTTACCTATGAGAGTAATAAGGCATCCCTTAGACCATGGGTGTGGTAGGAGCACGTGGTTCTATCCCTAGTACTCAGTCCCTTACTATTATAAGACTAGGTGTGGTAGGAGCACGCGATCCCATCCCTAGTACTCAGTCCCTTACTATTATAAGACTAGGTGTGGTAGGAGCACGCGGTCCCATCCCTAGTACTCAGTCCCTTACTATTATAAGACTAGGTGTGGTAGGAGCACGCGGTTCTATCCCTAGTACACAGTCCCTTACTATTATAAGACTAGGTGTGGTAGAAGCACGTGGTTCTATCCCTAGTACTCAGTCCCTTACTATTATAAGACTAGGTGTGGTAGGAGCACGCGATCCCATCCCTAGCACTCAGTCCCTTACTATTATAAGACTAGGTGTGGTAGGAGCACGCGGTCCCATCCCTAGTACTCAGTCCCTTACTATTATAAGACTAGGTGTGGTAGGAGCACGCGGTTCTATCCCTAGTACTCAGTCCCTTACTATTATAAGACTAGGTGTGGTAGAAGCACGTGGTTCTATCCCTAGTACTCAGTCCCTTACTATTATAAGACTACGTGTGGTAGGAGCACGTGGTTCTATGCCTAGTACTCAGTCCCCTTACTATTATAAGACTACGTGTGGTAGGAACACGCGGTTCTATCCCTAGTACTCAGTCCCCTTACTATTATAAGACTAGGTGTGGTAGAAGCACGTGGTTCTATCCCTAGTACTCAGTCCCTTACTATTATAAGACTAGGTGTGGTAGGAGCACGCGGTCCTATCCCTAGTACTCAGTCCCTTACTATTATAAGACTAGGTGTGGTAGGAGCACGTGGTTCTATGCCTAGTACTCAGTCCCTTACTATCATAAGACTACGTGTGGTAGGAGCACGCGGTTCTATCCCTAGTACTCAGTCCCCTTACTATTATAAGACTAGGTGTGGTAGAAGCACGTGGTTCTATCCCTAGTACTCAGTCCCTTACTATTATAAGACTAGGTGTGGTAGGAGCACGCGGTCCCATCCCTAGTACTCAGTCCCTTACTATTATAAGACTAGGTGTGGTAGGAGCACGTGGTTCTATGCCTAGTACTCAGTCCCCTTACTATTATAAGACCCCAAAAGAATTGTATGCTCTTACGTTTGATTCCATCTTGTGGGTCTCCTTTCCAAGTTCGCTGCTAAGCATGGATTAACGATGAAGGGACTAGTGGACTATTTTATATGAAAAAGTCTTGACGTCACTAGGGTGATCTACGTTTATTTTACGTCATTACCGCGTGAAATCGTGTTGTTGTTGACGTCAATTCTACGTCAATGTCATTCCCCTCGATCAATAAATAATCAACATTATCACTCAATTCATTTTATTAATAAACCTTTTACAATTGGGATATTTGAAAAGTCAGATAACTTTTCACCCTTTTGTCTTGCTGTACAACAATTATACTTTTACATCACTGATATAAAAGGCAACAAAAACTGACCGTGAAAAAAGACTTGCAACTTTTTGAAAATAGGAAAACGAAAGGATGCTTCCATGCTAATTTCTTTCAGGAAAATTATATTTACACGAAATCATTTTATTAAAAAACCTTTTACAATTGGGATATTTGAAAAGTCAGATACCTTTTCACCCACTTGTCTTGCTGTACAACATTTATTCTTTGCATCACTCATATAAAAAGACAACAACATCTGACCGTGAAAAAAGACTTGAATAAATAGAAATACGAAAGGACGCAAATCTCTTTCAGAAAAAATATTTACATTAAAACTAAAGTAAAAAAATTATTTACAATTATGAAAAAACACACACTATATTTACACACGGAGCTACGCTTACCAAAGTGTATCATACACTCCATTCATTTCCGCTTCTAATTCGAAGCGCAACTCATTTGAAAAATAGGCCCCATTTCTAAAACAAACTAATGGGTCAATCAGCATTTTATCGCAAAAAAGGCGCGAACAGTGTGCACAACGACTTATATCTGGTGACACCCATGACGTGAATAGGCAGAGCGGCAGGATTTTTCATGACTGAAGCGAAGATCTGCAATGAGATGATCAACGAATTATATTAATCCAGGTTCTTTCACGCCGTGATTGACTATACAGTTTTAGAAATCGACGTTTTGCGTTAAAGTATTGTTCCATGTTTAAGTTGTCCTTATGTCTAAAATACCTATAATGTTCCATAATATTTTTATCAATAAATAACAATTTATCATTGAAGAGATCGTCAATTAAAAGTGTCCTATGACAGTGCGAACACAAACTATTATACGTCGATATCCATTGCGTAAACAGGCATGGTTTACGAGACACAATCACCTTTAATGTGTTACTAAAACAGAAAAACAAAATCATTCATCAAAAAGCGATATCATGGTTTCGCTACATAATTTTCTAATTTGCACTATTTCATTATCAAAAAACTCGCGCGACGAAATATTACGATTGCAAATTGTTCCTTCGATTGTTAATTGAAAAAAGCCTAGTCGAACACAATGTCTACAGAAATAATCTTTATCGTTTCTGACCCACAAAGTGGTATAACAAAATTTCAAGCACAATAACTCGTCGAGCGTAGATCTATAAAATTAAAAAACAATTATCGTAAAACATAAACACCTTTAGCAGAGACAATTTTTAAGGTAAAAGCGCAACCCATGTTCCTCTATATAATGATTTAGTTTTGGCGACTTCACTAATGTATGTAGTAATTGAAAAATTTTCATTTAGTTGGGACAGTGCTCCATCGATTGTTAATTGAAAAAATGCGAGTCTTTTACAATATCTACAGTGACCATCATCAGGGTGTCTTGCCCACTTTGTGACATGACAGAATTTTAACTTTGTTAACTCGTAAAGCGATGATCTATAAAATTAGTAAAACAGACACGGTTAAAAGTACTATACATAAAAGTACATATTTCTAAACTGTTTTTCTAATTCTCTTTGAATCCTTTCGGAAGCTCCCTTCCTTCGGGCAATTTTTAGATCGATCGTTTGTCGTTCTTCCAGAATTCTGCAACAATGCTGGCAAATAAATCCTCCAAAAGCTAAACTTTGTCCGTATAAATAACACCATTCGGAGCAAGCACAGGTATACAAACAAATAAGTTGTGACATTACTTGCCTAAATTTCCGCTTGTGCTCTTCTTTGTAGAGATCGTGTGCCAGCGGGTGCTTTCGGGGCAGCTTCTTAGCTTCCTCCAGTGGCTCAGCAATGGCTTTCAGTGAAAGGGCTTGAAGGGACTCCATGGTAAAATCGGTAAACGAAATGGACAGACAGGAAAAATTTGCGGACGGCAAAGCGAATGTAGTACTACGTACTGTAAATGGTTTTGCTAAACAGTCTTTCTTATAAGAGCGATAAACAATGACTTGTTTACGCGCGCAAACGTTCGGTCCGTAGGGACGATGCTATCTCTTAATTACAATTTTGCCGACAAAAAAAAAAATCAAAATCAGTAGAAGAAAAGGACAGACCGCAAAAATTTGCGAACAGCAGAGCGATTGTAGTACTACGTACTGTAAAAGGTTTTGCTAAACAGTCTTTCTTATACGAGCGATAAACAATGACTTGCTTACGCGCGGAAAAGTTCGGTCCGTAGGGACGTTGCTATCTCTTAATTACAATTTTGCCGACATCGTTATTTTGCAGTCACCAACGCTTATTATCTTTTTTCCACACAATACGTTGCGAAAAACGAATTAAGAATTAAGACTTACTGTTAATTGCATTTTTATACATAATACCTCGTACTTTCTTAAGTTAAAATCTGCAGAGGGTCAGTCTGCGAAAGAATGTTTTTTGAAAAACTAACGTTAAGCAAGCGTTTTCGTATAATTAATTGACAAAACAAGAAGCGTGTGTCCAAGTGCTAGTTCGTTTTGCAGTAACAATTGTAAGCCTACACTAAATATTGTTTTTTCCACACAATACCTCGAGCAGTCTCTAAACGATGTACACTTTTATTATAAAGTCATATTCTAATACACTGATCTTTCAAGGTTTTTCTCAAGAGTGTATAATGTATAAAAAGTTTCAGTGTAATGTATATAGGTTAATGAGTTAATGTGAGCGCGAGAATGGCGCAATAATTTTGGCGCAATTTTGCCAAATATGTGTAAACTGTTTGGTCATTGACTTTTACCAAGGTGGTGGCTCCTAAAGGAGGCGTTTTTTTTTGTGGGTGTATCAATCAACCCTCGAGGGCGCTGGTGAGGGTTGAAATCAGCTCACCGATCAAGATATCTTGTTCCGCGATTCTTTGTTGCATCCTTGCAAAACGACTGTGTCGGATACGATAATCCGGAACCGTCCCCATGAAGTTCTTTTTCAATCGAACTTGAAGGGGCTTCACGTCCACTGGCTTTAACATCACTTCGTCTACCAAGCTGTTCGTTGGGAGGTCGAGATTCCTCTCACCCTCCAACAAGGCATCTTTTATCCACTGGTCTAGATCACTATCCATAGTGCAGAGAACGAAGTAATTGAAAGCACGAGGTTATGTATTCTTAGATTTATCAATATTCTTTTGATAAATTAACCAGGACCAATCGCAATATAGCAAGGGTTAAAAATAACTAATCTACAGAAGTTTTAAAACTATTTCGCAATTTTTTTTCCCGCCGAAAACAAAAAAATTATTCGTGGCATTAATTAAAACACACGTTACGCATTATTCTCAGTTTTGTTTTCCACCTTCAAAACTCAACTCAGTTAAGGGGTTTTTTTAACATACATGTTTCACCTAAGTCACTTTTATTAATAAGCGCGTCTGTTTACTACAGATTTGGAAGTAGTAGTTATATCTTTCTATCCTAAATGACCGAATATATGGTAGGTTTCTATTAAATGTAATCTATTTAGCTGGAGATACACATCGAGCACCAAAGC